TTTTTTTTTTTTTTTTTTTTTGTATCTGTTGAGATTTGCTTTGTGACCGAGTATGTGGTTGATTTTAGAGAAGGTTCCATGGGGTGCTGATAAGAAGGCATATTCTTTTGTGTTAGAGTGGAATGTTCTGTAGATACCTATTAAGTCCATTTGACTCCATATTAGATCCCCTATTTCTCTGTTAAATTTCAGTCTGGCAGATCTATCCAGTGGTGAGAGTGAGGTGTTGAAATCTCCCACTATTAATGTGTGGAGTTGGATGTGTAATTTAAGCTTTAGTAATGTTTCTTTTACAATGTGGATGCCCTTGTACTTGGGGCATAAATGTTCAAAATTGAGACTTCATCTTGGTGGTTTTTTCCTATGATGAATATGTAATGTCCTTCCCAATCTCTTTTGATTGATTTTAGTTTGAAGTCTATTTTATTAGATACTAGGATAGCTACACCAGCGTGCTTCTTAGGTCCATTTGATTGGAAAGTCTTTTCCCAGCCCTTTACTCTGAGGTGGTGTCTGTCTTCGAAGTTGAGATGTGTTTCTTGTATGCAACAGAGGATGGATCCTGCTTTTGTATCCATTCTGTTAGCCTGTGTCTTTTTATAGGCAAGTTGAGTCCATTGATATTACAGGGTATTAGTGACCAGTGATTGTTGAGTCCTGTTATCTTTGGTGGTAGTGTCCTGTGTTTCCCTTCTTTGGAGTTTACTGCTGTGGCATTATCTGTTGCCTGTGTTTTCCAGGGTGTATCTGACTTCCTTAGGTTGGAGTTTTCCTTCTAGTGCTTTCTGTAGAGCTGGATTTGCTGGATTTGTTTAAATTGGTTTTGTCTTGGAATGTCTTGTTTACTCCATCTATGGTGACTGAAAATTTTGCTGGGTATATTAGTCTAGGCTGGTATCCATGGTCTCTTAGCATCTGCATTACATCTGTTCAGGTCCTTCTGGCTTTCAGAGTCTCCATTGAGAAGTTGGGTGTTATTCTGATGGGTTTACCTTTATAGGTCACTTGGTCTTTTTCCTTTTCTGCTCTTAATATTCTTTCTTTATTCTGTATGTTTAGTGATTTAATTATTATGTGAAAAATATTGTGGGACTTTGATTTGGGTTGTATTTAGTCTTTGAGTAGTTTTGGGTACAATGGTCATTTTCATAATAATCATTTTACCAACACATGCTCATGTGAAGTCTTCCCATTTCCTATGTCTTCCTCAATCCCTTTCTTTCAGAGATTTATAGTTTTCTACTAGGGCCTTTAGTTTTCTTTGTTAGTTTTATCCCGAGATACTGGATTTGGGTTTGGTTTGTTCTTCTTTTTCCATATTCTTGAGTCGTATCATTAAGTCATTTATTTCTGTTCTTTTTGATTTTTCATCTTATGCGATTAGAGCTATAAATTTCCCTCCTAGAACTGCTTCCAGCATGTCCCAGATATTTTGTTGTGCTGTATTTTTATTTTCACTTAGTTCCAGGGTTCATGTGTATTTATTTCCTGATTTCTTCTTAGACCTATTCATCATTCAGTCATTAGTATTTTAATCTCTATGAGCATTTGTACTTATTAGGGATTTGTTTGCTATTCATTTAAAATCTGTGTTCATTGTGTTCATATAAGATACACTGAGTTATTTGCTTTTTCAGACTTTCTGAATATTTGTTTTGTGCCCCTTCATGTGATCTGATTTGGAAATGCCTCTGTGGGCTGCTAAATAGAATGTATATTCTTTGGTGTTGGGTAGAATATTTTCTATCTTTTAAATGGAATTTAGTTACTCTTAAATAGTTTATCTTTAGGTGGACATAATTAAATACATACATAAAAGTACAGCTCATTACAAAGGATCCCATGTATTCTACTATATTCACCTGTTTGTTAATATTTGTGTGTGTGTGTGTGTGTGTGTGTGTGTGTGTGATCTGTTATATACACCATGGCTCTTGAACACTTAGCAATCTCCTAAGCATAAGAATAACCTTTTAACTGGGTGGTGGTGGGGCACGCCTTTAATCCCAGCACTTGGAAGGCAGATCTCTGTGAGTTCGAGGCCAGACTGGTCTATAGAGCAAGATTCAGGGCAGGCACCAAAGCTACACAGAGTAATTCTGTCTTGGGAAAAAAAAAAAAAGAAGAAGAAGAAGAAAAAAGAAAAGAATATCCTTTTATAGAACTAACTACTGCTTGGCTGTGAACTTTTAAAACTGTAACATTGGTGTGTGTGTGTGTGTGTGTGTGTGTGTGTGTGTGTGTGTGTAGGTCACATGTTCACATGTCAGAGGACAACCAGATTTGGTTCCCTCTGCCACATGTTTCCCAGGAATTTAACTCAGTTCATCAGCTTCAGAAAAGCACTTTTGCTGTTGCAGTTCCGTCCCCTCCCTGTTGTATGTTAAATGCACCAAGTCTTTTGGGTGACATCCGCTTATATGTTAGATGCACCAAGTCTTTTGGGTGACATCCGTTTATATGTTAGATGCACCAAGTCTTTTGGGTGACATCCGTTTATATGTTAGATGC